TATTCATTTCTGAGTCTGCCAAGTAGCGTGTAGTGAAAAAATGGGTGAAACGCAACCACCATGCCAGTTTCATGACCATGCCGGTGATTGTATATAAACAGTTGTTTCCTTCTTCTTTCACAGTAGCTGCGTCTTCCTTAGCCAAAGAGAGACCTCGCTCCTCAGACCCCCACGTCCTCGACTTCACTGGAAGCCGCAGTATCCCTGTTGGTTGCTGGGACCTGCTGAGTGAGATTGCTGGGTGCTATATCCTACTGCCGGGTAGGACTGCTCGTAGCTGAGTCGTTTCGAGTAGGACTGCTGGATGCTGGGATCTGCCGAGTAAGAAAGCTGGCCTCTGAGTCCTTCCAAGTAGCCCGAAGGCAGCGGTCCCATCGAAAGGTTGGCAAGCTGTGCGTTCAGATCCTTCTCTTTGGCATGAATCTCCACGGCATGGTTGTACTCGTCCAGCAGATGAAGGAACTCATCGTTCTGCCAGTGGAGCACGTAGAAGATCCCGCGCGAAACGCTGTGCGGCTGAACAAATGCGGTTGGCGTTTGATTATTCCAGTGCTTGCCATAAAGAGCGTGTAAGTCCTCGACGCTGCCGGACTGGAGGGCGCCATCCTTGACCGTGCTCATCACCGAGACCAGAACCTTCTCCATCGCGGTAATTTCCGAACGGTGCTTGGGGTCGTTCGCCATATAGGTCCCCTTGTATTCGTCTTTGTCTCCGAGAAAGAGATCGCCAGGCCTAGACTTGTGGGAGTAGGCGTTCCAGAAGCCGAAGAAGAAGTACCAGCTCTCACGCACAACACGCAGGAACGGGGGGGGGAGGGAGAGAGCCGTGGGAGCGTCGACGCCAACTCCAAGTGATATCCGTACCATGACGGACAAGAAGAGGGCGTTCTCAGCCTCCGTGAGCCAAAACATGCTGCGGGCAATGGTTTTTTTCGTCTCGGTGTTGGTGACTTCTTTGCGAGCGAAGTCCAAGGCGACCCACAGAAGCCAGCCATTCTTGCCATCAAAGTAGGCGGGATCCTTCCGAATTCGGGCTTTGATGTTGGCGAGGGCGGCGTCAACTTTCTCCATCTCCATGTTATGACCCAAGCCGAGGCTGCAAATGCCCTTCAAGGTGGTTCCCCACTCTTCGGCCTCGTTGACCGTCGAGTTCTTGCCTTGGCGCTTCGAGAGGTTCATGATATTTGGCAAGTAGGCCTTGAGACGCAGGTATTGGTCCTTGCTCAACGACCGGACATACTTAAAGAGGCACGACTTCATATAGCGGCCGGTAATGCCCGCTTTCCGGAGAAGATCGGCCAAGAGAACAAACCGGCCAAACTGCTCATCTAGGGGGAAAGGAGTGGTTTTAGTTGGTGAAGGCGTGGGCTGAACAGGGCTGGCAACTGTCAGCGAGGCAGGAGGGTTGGACACAGCCAACGAGACGGGAGGGTTGGCAGCAGCCAACAAAACAGGGCGGCCGGCAGCAACCAGCGAAGCAGGAGGGTTGGCAGCAGCCGGCGGCGCAGCAGGCTTGGGGAGAGGCCGACCCTCTCCGATGACGCCGGGCCAGGGGGCAGCCTGGGCACTCGACCGAGACACGGGCTTCGAGCTACCCGAGGAGACAGCCACCGCAACAACGGGCAAGAAAGGGAGGAGGGGAGCCGCCGAAGTAGGCAAATCACGGGGCGGCGGGAAACGGTCGGGCAAACCCGACGACAAGTGTTGGTTTGCCCGCCTGCCCTTGGCATGGGCAAAGCGGGACTTGCTTCCAATCACGACCATCTTGACGGAGCCAAATATAGATAAAAGTGTCAGGGGTGCGTAAATATGCTTCGCAAGTAGGACAGTCATTGCCGAAGTGGCGGGGGATGCTAGTGATGTCGATGAATGTTTGCGAGTTGAAAGAGCAGAAATTAGGGAAAGCTGCGGGAATTTACGTGGACTAAATACCTCCGATCACGCCCGGTGGCGCACCTGACCTGCCCACTGTAACTTTGGGCTGCACAATGGGGGGTGAATCCCTGGCTCCTGCTTTCTTGGATCACTTCCTCTGCCCCCGAAGAAACCCCCGGAAGCTTCTATTATCCCATGTACGATGTGCTATTGTTGGCTTGGGGTAGATGAAAGACGCTTCAAGCCTTGCCAAACCACATGAGTGAACAACCAAAAGCCTGATTCAACGGTGGCATCGTCACTTTACTTCCGCATGGCGAAGACGGCCCTCTCGTCTACACCGCCACTTTCACCAAGCACAATAGCTCGCCATACTCCCTCCTAGGTTTCAATGGAGCGGTATGCTCGCAGACTCGCGAGTCAACCGCGCGGCGAGGAATGTATGACGCGCTGTGCCGTCATTTGTTAGTAACGAGCTGCGTGGTTCAACCTATCACCTATGCGCTGCCAATCACGAGCTGGGTCAGACTGTCAGTCATCAACAACATGCTAGCTTCACATGCGACGGCAGCTACCTGTTGAGCACCCAGAAAGGTGTCACGCGCAGTCGCTGGGTCGTGGAAGACGGGAAGTCGCCTTGCCCTCCTTGCCTTCACTCAGTTCAACCTTGCAGAACATTTGGCCCAGGTGTGTACACGACCCTGAGTCTCCGTTGATCGCAAGCCTCTCTTACAAACTGCCCAGCTCGGTGATGAGTACAAGTTAGGACCGGACTCAGCAACCAGGACAAAGGCGAAGACGGTACAAAAGCCTACAAATTAAAGGGATCAACGGAACGACGGGAGCTCACCATAGCGAACTTCTGCGAGCGAGGGCAGTTGGAGTGCCCCTGGCAACTGACAGCCTCCGCAAGACCCTCCGGAGATGCGCCAACGGGGCGAGCTGCTCGCTACCCTCAAATGACTGGGAAAGGCTCTTCTCCCGGTGAGTGGGTCTGTTGTGGTATGGCCTGCGGGTGGCTCATTGTGTACAAGAGGCCCTGTTGCCTCGGAGTGGCTTTGTTGCCGTATGGTCCTGTGCCTGCAAGTCGTTCGCCCGACGTGTGGCGCCGTTGTTGGCGGATGACTCTGTCGTTTGCATCATACGGATCTATGTCTATGAGACCATGCCAACGCCATCCCGGAGCGGGTCCGTCTCCCACGGCGGCGGGATAACACCACCCTCAGACAAGCTGGCAACAACGCAATCCCCGGCGTTGGTCGGCCCCAATTCAGCGATAAGGGCTGCTAGGGAATTACCACGCGGATTTCTTTTCAAGAAATAACACACTACTTTGCCAATCTACGCGCCTGGCGCTCCTTATGTTGGGCTCATTCTGTTGAATCAAGTCTGTCGTTATCGCGATCATTGAAGTGATAATACCAAGGCCACTCCGCGAAGCACATGGTACTAGTCATGACTCGGTACCAAAGCAGTTCAAAACAAAACCAGAAAGAGACAGGACGGCCATGAGGATATGGTGTCTAGGCAACTATTGACATCCCATGCACATCAAAGATAGCTCCTTCTTTGCCATACAGAATCACAAACCCTTACAGCCGAAGTAATCCATTCCATAACCCTTCCTCACACCTCCGGAGTTTAGTCCTAGTTTCTTGTTGTCCAATTTTTCTTGTACTCCTTTGGTCTGATAGTCCACATGTTGTCAGTCATTAAGCCTGCTACATGGTGTGCTCCATCCTAATTCAATATCCCCATGTTACGGCCAAGTCACGACATATATGTACCTTAGGTACCCATCAAAGCAAAGGGGTCAAGTCGAACGAGATCTTCAGGATATACCTGGATCATAATAAAGCAAATACTTAGGACAATATCATCTAGCAGCGAGAACCTCTCCCCATTACAATGAGAAGAAGAGGATTACGCTCAGAGGATAATATCAGATGCCTTTAATGAATCTACCTAGGTATCGTGTCCGGCAAGGAAAAGCTGAGATTAAACATCCTCAACCAGGAGTTATGATGCTATTAGGTTAGAAGTAGCTACACGATGATACTGGTAACCTTATTATATTGCACTTAAAATATCGCGGCCACCAGACAAAACTTTGCAGCCGTTACAGAGTCCATTCCGGACTTTCTGTCTCTTCTCTCTCCCGACTAAGATTCCTAAACAGTGCGTAAATGCCAGCAAAAGCCCCAAATAAAAAGGTCGTCAATTCTTTTATTTTCCAGTTCTCATCGCTCGTCAAGCTGTGACAAACCCCTTTATCCTCTTGGTCATGACCCCCAAAACTCAGCCAGTGCATTCCGGAGACCAAAGAAACAACCAACCGATTGAGGATCCCTATTGGGTTCAATTTTGTTACTAATATTGCCCCTTGTCTGGATTGAAGATAGAGAAAAATACGTTAAATGAGAGTCAACATCAGGTGATGATAGTACCCCTAAGAACTTTAAAAAAATCCCCCAAGAAACCGTGGGTTTTAACTCGTCGTAGCACATCCATCACATTACCGTCATGGCTGTGAAGAAGGCAAAAAGACTAATCCAGGCGGGCTGTGTTTTGCGGTTCTGGTGTTCAGAAGTGTAAGTCGGCTAGCATTCGCTCAGTCGAGAGTCATTGTCAGGGATGGGAAATTTTGCAGTTCAAAGTCAATGCTGATTGCTACTGACACAACGACCAGGGGTCTTTAATGTGTAATAGTATGACAGGATTTTCTGTATCAACTTTTCTCTGCGGCGCGCTTCTTCCCTCTTTGTTTGGCTTCCAGCCCGTGCGTTGACGTGCGCGCTCATCTGTCAATGATCACTGCAGACAACCACATAAGCAACAACCGGGTAAAAAGAAAAAGAGGGCAAACGTTCCTTGCTAATCATACTACGACTTGGATATAATTCTTAAAAACAGGTTCGTCCAACTAAATGCGGTGCATCTTCTTCCATCAAAGAAATACAAGATTTAATTCAGCCCCCTTTGTTCATGGCACCCCCTGTGGTGCCCTCTGGCGGCGTGGGGCCGCGGGAGGGCCGTGTGCCTGAAGCTGGCGTGGGACCACTCCAAGACCCCGGTTTGCCATCCAAAAGGTCATCTGACAGGTGCCGAAGATAACCGTCCTTAAAATCCGCGTGACGCAGCGGTTAGCGTGTTGCTCTTATACAAGTAAATCACTTTACTACCTATGCAAAGGTCGCGAGTTCGATCCTCGCCGCGGATAACATTTTTTGGCCCTTTTTGCCCCGATCCTCATTCATAACCCTAGATGGATGGAATTGGCCTTTTGAGGATAAGGCAGAATGCGCATTTGTTCCTTGCGTGCGATGGGTGGTGGGGACGGTTCAAAGCCGGCAAATCGCTGTCAAGCGAGGGTCCCTTTTTTTGCCTCCTTGGGGTTTGAGGCTCAACAATGGCGCAGGGATCACCCAATCACCCCGCCTGAATCGGTCGCTAGCGATTGGTTTCCAAACAAATGCCCCTGAAAATACAGCACGGTTCAACCCAAACAGCCGCGACCCCACCACGACACCTGCGACATCACGGCAACAATGCGAAATAAATGTTAAAATATTTTACTACTTTGTATAGGCGGACTTTTCTAAGTCTAGCCGCCAGCATTGCAAAGGCAATGCCTTTGTTGTATGTACAGATGGGACTGCTATGTAGTTATACAGACAGCAATAATAAACTTGGCGGCAGTCGATATGTCGAAAGCCTGAAGCCAAAAATCTGGTACAAATAAGTACTGCAAATGCAGGAAAGGATAATGCCAAAAAAAACTTCGCCCTTGGAGCGGATGGTATAAAGATGTGGCGGTAAAAAAGATGATGACGCGAAATGGTGTTGTCCCCTAATGTTCCACTCCCCCAAGTGTCTTTTATCCAGCGAATGCACTCAATGAGCTCATATCCGCGGCACCGAGCTTTTGACGAGCCTTTGCTGCCGTTTCATGAAGGAGTCACGGAACTGGTATCGGTAATAGGTCCCATATGCGTACGCGCCGATGCCGAGAACCATCCATAAGCTGGTGACGACGAGGCCGATGGGGAAGATCAGGATCTGGACACCCGGGAGCACAAACGCCGTGGTGCCATTCTTCAGCCTTGCCACCTCGTCTTGAACGGCAAGTTCGGCCAAACGGAAGCTGCTCATGACGACCGCCTGCGAAAACACACCGGTGACAAATGCGGCCTCGTTGGACGAAACTTTTGTGTCGATAGGCCGACCTTGACTGTTGTTTGCTTTGAGGGTTATGACGGGCATGACGAGCGATTGAAGTCGGCCCCTAGCGGTATGGTCAGCACAGAGTTGCAGGTCGGGGAGATCAGGATGTGCTTACATGTCCATCGGGTTGGCCATCTCATTCTGGTCGATTTGCCCAAGAAACAAGTATGTCTGCAGCAGTCGGAGCTGGGAGCTGTTCCCAGGGGTAGTTGCCTGTCTCGCAGCCACCACCTTGGACTGCGCGGTGCTGGAGGACACTACGTTTGCGGTCGATCCCTTGAAGGTAGCGACAACCTTGATGTTTTCTGGAGGGATGCCCTGAAATGCACCTGTCGGTTCGTTGAGTTGGTATAGTCTAAGGTCGGCCTCGAAAGCCCCCGTCGCGTTATTGAGAGCCGGCAAGTTGTAGCACACACATGTGCCCGAGGGGTTCGACGCCAGCGAGAGGGCCTTGAGTGCCGCATCGCACGCGGCATTCGCTTGGGCATCCCAAGCTGTCATGTTGATGCTGCCATTCTCGTTGAGAACCACGTCGCTTCCCAGCCCAGTCGACCCTGGCGTTTGCCGTGTGTCCAAAATCTTTCTAGCCCTGAGATGCGACTTTGCGATTTCTTGTAACCTCCTTTCGACAGCCGGGCTGCCGCGGCTTATCCCATCCATAATCAGCGACCCAATGCCTGCCTGCGCCCCCGATGCCATGAGGGAGGCGACAAGCGCCGTTTGCCAAAGCATGTTTGTGTTTGTTGTTGTGAGTTCCTCCTCTTTGTCCCTTTCCAGTCTATTATTCGATGTCGTTCCAACTTGGCCAAGTCATCAAGTATTAAAAGCCAATCCGTCCGGCGGCGAGGGGAATCGAAAGGCGAGTCGTCGAATGAGTGAAGACGCCCACTTTATAAAGAAGGTCGATCGATGGGCGACGTGAAGGTCGAAGGAGAAGCAGGGCCCGCCCTGTGAGGGAAGGATACTTCGTGATGTTTCCTGCCAGCCAAGCAATGATGTGACGGCCACAGATACTTTGAAGAGACAGAAAGAAGAAGAGGGTGAGAACCAAAGGCCGTGGGGGGTGGCAAGAATAGAATAGAAGTGAAGGGACAGGGGATTACTACTATGGGAGCCGCTTGGGGCCAGCAAAGGAAAGGTAGACGGCCAGTCTCATGCGACGCAGATCAAGATCCCCGGGACCTTGTATACGGTCTCGCTGGTGGGCCGTCGGGACTGAGGGGACGAATAGGAGAAATGGGTTGAGGGAAGAAGGGCGGGAGGCAGGGGAGGTGGTGGTCAAGGAATGAAGAAGGCCTGGGTCGACGTAGATCAATGGCGTGAGTTTGCAAAAAGTCGAATGTTTTTGGATGGGCAAAGGGGGCAGGCGAGGCAGCATGGGACCTTGTCCGACAGAGAGAGACAGATGCCATGACAAGAGGCCATCCAATGGGATGGGCGGGATTCGGCGTAGATCCAGAACGGTCTCGAATATCGGACAGCAAGGGCGGATGGATGAATGGGGGCGCCCAATGCCAAACACAAGGCGCCGAGGAGTGGCACCACTGGGTGGAGCTCAGCATTGCGAAAGGCTTGTTTGTGGTGTACGTCGACATGGACAGGATAGCCGGGGCAGGCTCACGAACGACGGTGTCGAGGGTGGAGGTGGAGGAGCGAGGGTCGACTGGGACCTGACACGGCGATGATGCTGCAAAGAGCCAGGGCAATTTGGCCCTGGAGACCCTGGCTGGGCGCTGAGGACACCAGCAACAGGCGCTGTGGCAGCAAAACGGCCGACAATCGCATTTCCGAAGGGCTAGGGGTTGTGTGAGTTGACGTGTGATCGCCTCTCGACAATGCGCTGCCAGCGCTGCGCAAGAGCCATGGCACTGTCGGATCGACGGGTGATGTAACAGACAGAGTCAGAGATGCGTCCAGCACTTGATGCGAACGCTGTTCCACATTGCCCCGCAAATGGCCCGCCGCACAGGCCAGCACCAGGTTCTGGGGCTGGTAGGCGGATAAGTCTCTGCGCCGCATCTGAAGTGCATTCAACCGCTGCTGATCTGGCGATTCGTCACTTTGTTGAAGGTAAAATTGCAGAAAATGCCATTCAGAGAATCTAATCATAATTTTGTATGCTGGAGGTTATTTTTGAGTCCTCATATTTCATTTTGCCATCTATTGCGATGTTTATGTCGAATCTCGACCTCAGATGAACAATGACAATGTTCTTTCCACGCTAACACCCCGTGTTTGGCCTCCCAGACTCTGTGACAGCGGGGGTGTCGGCCCTGGTCCACTCACAGCTAACCGAGCGTCAAGCCCAAGCATCAGCCACTGCTAAGATCCGAGGCCGCCACAATTTTTGCACTGGACAAGTTATTGCTGCACGCAAGCCACACCTTGCGGGGCGGCCTGATGAATTTAGACAGGGGTTGCGCCTCCGTGTCTCCGCTGGAACGGAAAGGGGCTTTTGCCAAGACGCTGCAATCGCTGCGATTGACTGGGGCATTTCTGACCGTGGCCAAAACTCGTGTGGAACACGAGTCGACGGTTTTGTCCCCTCGACAATCCCTATCCAATTACTCTTCTCAGATGTCTAGCGCATGGCGCAATTTGCCTTGCATCCCTCTCAACGGTCATCCAGTTGGCCAGCGCTTAGCAACACGTTGCGCCAGTGTCGTGCAGCAATTTTTGGCTTTCTGCCGACGTTGCGCCACAGCCAAACATTTGCTGACCCGGTGGCGCCTGCCTTCCCGCTTGTGCCTCTTCAAGTGGACACACGGTAGGCAGGACCCAAGTCCCTTGCTCGGGCGGCCTGGCTCGAGCCTGGTTAGAAACCACTTCACATCGATGCTGACGCAGTCGTCCGATGTCCCCGAGCGCCATTGACCAAAGGCCCACCATCAACGAGCCCAGGATTTTGGACTTTGGGTTCTCTCCAGACCACAACGTGCCGCCCACCATTCATCCACCCGCGCAGGAGCATCACACTCTTATTACTCAAAATCCACGATGGGTGGTGATGGATGGGCTTCTTTTTGGCCCACCATCTGGGCTCGACCGGAAACTCCCTCCTCGCTACCGATTCCTTCGTGGCCCCGTTCGGGGTGTTTCGATCGCCGGGAAGCCGGTCCCACGTGCATGACAATGGGTCTCCCCCTTCTCATTTCCAATCCGCCCCCTCGCACTTTGGATCCTCCCAGTGGTACGATTCTGCGAGTTTGTGTTTTGCGTTTCGCAACACCACCTTCATCAAGCCGCGTAACACGAGCGCTATTTGGACGACTCAAGAGTCTTGTCGCTATCTCCCAGCGTTTACCGTTTCAGTAGATCCTCGGGGAGATAACTCTACACAGTACGCTCAAGGATCGCCTGTGCTATTCATAGCAAGTGCAAACGGACGATCACGAAGATCCTACCCACCGCCGAGGTGAGCGGGCCAGCACAGACTAGACTCGGACCTCGAACCTGAATCCAGACTCTCTTGGATCAGATCAGCGCTCCTTGCATATTCCTGTCCCTTGCATACACTTCACAAAGACCGGCCACACCCACCTGGCCTACCTTTATGCAGTTGGCAGCAAGTGCGCCTGGCATCGACCAATTTCCTGTCTGGGCCAGAATTCTGATCCTCATCCCGCATGTGCTGGTCATCGGGAACGGCGCCAGCAGTTGCGCAACTCATCCCCCTTGGTGGAAGAGGGTAGGCTGTCGATCACGTAACCACGCCGTTCTCGAGTCAAGTCACGCTTTTGAAACGACGACTTCATGTTTCAATTAATGTTATTGTCTAATTTTGCGAAGCCTGTTCTCCCTCGACGCCGACGAACAGCAATCCGCCCACGGCATCTTCAACCCATGACGATTTTACTCGTGGCTGTGACCATACGAAGCCTGGTATCCGCCGGGCAATTCGGTGAGCCCTGGCAAATCGAAAAGAGATGGTTAGCAAGCGTTGCCCGTGCCCCCAAGTTTATTGCGGAAACTTACATCCATCAATATTCTCATCTA